TAAACCGGTGTAATATAAAATCGTTAGAGTTAGATAGAAAATGAATATTTCACTTGTTTCGTCGCGTCCTTTTGCACGTTTACAGTCCGCTGTGTATCGAAACCATGCGAACTGCATACTTGGAAGAAGCGTGAAGGCACAGTGTCCCGTTGGAATGCCTTCATAGAATTCTCCTCGTATGCTTTTACTCACTTTCAAACCAGAACCAAACCGTATAACACGCGGAAATGGCAACCAGAACACCAGCAAACAACGAGCGAAGTTAACAACGATGCGTATCACCGCGCGCGCTTAAGTGCACTTCGGAAGCGGCAATAAATTCAACGGCAAACTCAATCATTCAGCGGATTTTAAGTTTCCGATTTTAACTTCATATCGCGCAGCTGAACGATATGTTTCGCGATAAATGACTCGAGTTTCCCATTTCTGCGATACAAGTGACGAGATAACGCTCGATGACTTTTGTGAAAAGTAAACGACACCTTACTAACGATTAATATCTAATTGGAATTAGAGTGTCCTTGTGAACTTTTAATCTTACGAACAATATATAAAGGTTCCTAAAAAAAAGGTGTCTAAAGAAATATTTGAGCTAGTTCGTTCTCGAATCTTTATTTCTTCGTGTTTTTCCCATTCTTGCGATTTAAGAATCTTAAGTTAAGTGCACAATTTAAATATACCTTCTCTGTTGGAGAAATTTTCTTGTTTGACTTGATCGTCATTTTTATTGCAGCTGTTTCTCAGAATTTTATTGCTTTCCTTTTTCCTACATTCGTATTATTCATTTTATGTCTATAATAGACGTATCTCACTATTCCTTTACAAAATGTAATACATTTATGACACGTTTTATCTCTTCGTATTGATATAGCAATGGTTGTTCTACTTGCATCTAATTTTGTTACGACTGAACGGCGAACTTTTATTCATTTACGGGAAATTTAAATTTAATTAATATATGTATAATATATATATATATTTATATATATATAAATTAATATAATTAATATATTATACTTTAAATTTATATATATATATATAATAATTATATTATAATTATACAAAATATCTAAAATACAGTATCACTTAAATAGATGAAACGAATTTTCGCGTACATTTTGAATTATCAAAAAAAAAAAGAAAAGAAAAAAGGGAAAAGCAACGTGAATTTTCATAAAAGTTCGCAGTTGGCGTATTCATTTTTTATGCAAAACCACGTCGTCTACACGTTTGTGACACTCCCTCTCTGTATTGTATCGACGTGGCAATGGTTATTCTACCTGTACCTAATCTCGTTAGAACGAACCGCTGCGTTCTCTCGTCTGGTCGCCAGAAATTTTCCGATTTTCTGGCCGGCCCAACTTTCCTCGTTTCTCATCTCCGTTCCTTGTTACGCGGACTGTCGAAAGTTTACACCGGTTGTGTCGAGCATTTCCCCGCGTAACCTTATAAAAGGGCTGGACAAGGCGAGAAGGAGGAGGGTGTACGGTGGGGAAGAGACGGCTGTATTCTTGATCCATGAAATAACTTTCTGACTACTTGAAGACAAAAGCTGACAGCCGGCATTTGCCGGCTGCCTGTCCGCGAGACGAAGAAGCAGATATTATTCGAAATTCTGGAATATTTTACATACACTTGCAACTGCAAGAATGAATGAAACACAGCGAAAACACTTTAATGATTTACAGTTTAATAATTCGGAGGATGCGCATGTATCATCACGGTATATGTAACTTGTTGAACGACGATGATTGAAATCACTTTGGTCGAACATTTTAAGTCACTTTAAATCGACCTTTTTAAATCGAAATTAATAAATAGTAACACGCTGAATAGTGAAATTACCTGTTTGCTATATTTTGATGACATATACGTAAAAACATATGTCACAAAATTGAAGGATTATGTGCTACTATTTTATTCTTAGAATTGCTCGATTCATCATCGAAGATGATATGTAAAATAGTAAAATTCCCAATTTTTTTATTCATTGAGAAAATGAAATTGAAAATAACTAGTTAGACTGTGGACAATTTATCGATTGTGAGAAAGACGGGGGAAAAAAAGGAGGAGTAAATTTGAGTAATTAGAATTTTGAAACAGCGGAACGAACAAGTGGAAAAAAATTCTGCCATTATTTCGCTTTATTGCAGCGTAACTGGAACTGAAATTTTTATCGATGGACAAGCGGCGATTTAGTAATGAACATTCGAAAGTTCAATAACGCTTGATTGTTTGATTATTGTCAGGGAATTGAAAACTGTGTTTCTGGGTAGAGCAAATTCAAACTTTTTGAAATCGACATTTTCCGAGTAGACTCGGTAATATTTTGTTTTAATTTTTGCCTTTAGCTAATTGCAAAAATATTACTATTTTCTTTTCTCCTTTTGCCATTTTCTATAAGTGAAAAATTCTGAAGGAATTTGTAAGTTGATCTTAAAAAAAAAAAGAAAAATCTGTATGTCCACTATAAAATGTTGAACTCCAAATATTCGCGCATTTATGGAAAAATTTCCATGCGTGAAATACGAAATACGAATGTAATACAAATACGAAATATCCATTTAAGAAGGATGAGAGATCATCTCGATTGAAAATCGAGGAAAAGGCATAAACCAAAATTAGAATACAAATCCAAAATCCGAAGAGAAGAGGAAGCTTCGTGGAATTAAATTCCAATGGACATTTTCAATGTCCTCGTACTAAGCTAAATTAAATTTCTGTAAAAAGAAAGAAAGAAAAAAAAAAGGAAAAAAGAAAGAATCCGCGAAAATAGAGAAGCCGTGATTTAATCTTGGCGAACGGCGAAGTGGTTATTATAAATCCAATTTCTCTGTTCTCAATAGAGGAAACACATAATTAGGTTTCTTTTGATTTCCAAGATCCATTTCTTTAATTCAATTATACGGTCTTTTCTGCTTGTCAGCTGCACGCTTTCAAAAGCAATTATTTGTTTCGTCGACCGAAAGTTTCGCACGACCATTTCGCTCTATGTGAAAATTTCGTTATCAGTCTATTATTGTTCAACTTAATTTATTATGTCCTTTTTTTCCCTTACTGATGCAAGTCTCGAGTGTCACGCTATATAAGTTTCGTCGTCAGAGGGTGTTCTCTTAAGAAATAAAATATAAAGGTGCATTAACTGAATAAAAGCATTTTCAAATTTTTAAAAATGTCACATGCTTCTACGAAGTTATTCGGGGATTTTTATAATTCGATTTTTGCATTTTTCAAAGTATACGGCATGTCACGTTCAAAGTTTAAACAATTAACGAAATTATAATTATTCTCAATAACTCGACACTGATATTGAAGTAACACAAAGAAGCTTAAACTAGATTTCTTTACTATTCTCCTTTAGATTTGGAGATTAACAATATTTGTAGATATAGCTTTTATTTTCTGTTTCACCGAGAGTTTTTTCGTCTGTAAAAGTTAAAAAGAAAAATTAAAAAACTCCAAGTCTAGTTCAATTTTATAGTGTTACCATTTTTTTAATTATCGGTGTCTCCCTTTCATTCTACTATCTGCTGTTGCCAAGTTCATTCTAATCAAAAATATTTCGGCTTTTTTACTCGGCGAATGGCTGGTACGTTCGAAATTTTACATGGCCATCAATTTTTATTATTTGCCGCAAAAAACAATTTTGCACGTCTCGCTAAAACAGAGATAAATATCAGAGATGTAAAATGTCGGCGAGAAAGGCCAAAAAAAAGGTCTAAAAAGGAAAAATTTTCGTAACAGAATCCTCTTAAAGGTACGAACAATTTTAGACAAATGATTAAAAAGTAAAATGAAAGTTTGAATAATTGAAGACACTTTTTACACCCGCTGTACAGTACATACAATACTTCGTTATTCCGTCGAGACTAAATTTAGTAATAGAACATTGAAAAAGTCAGAGATTGCTGCAAAATGTGTTATTTTGTCAATTTACAAGTCAATTTGTAAACAGCAGTGCACATCCCGCGTAATGAATTCTGTTTAATTAATATCAGGCAATTTGCATGAGATCGTAAAAAGTAATTGGGGTTTGCTTGTTAACAAACATGTTTATAATGAATTCTGTGTAATATGTGTTAGGAGGTCGGCCGATATATACGAACGCACGATGTTAATTAATACTTACAGTTTATTAATTAACATCAACAACAAAGGGACGGTCAACTTTATAGTTTATTTATAATTATTATTACTAACAACGGAAGAACGGGTAATTTTAATGTGTTTGCTAACCATGAAAAATAGTTACACTTAATATTTAGCTATTACGTTCCTTTCTAATTTTTTTCTTTTTTTTTTTTTAATACGTTCCTGAAGTATTATCAATCGTAAAAAGTGTAATTGCCACTTTGGTAATAAAATCAAAGTGTAGCTTTTTTTTTACCAAGCATTAAACTTTTAATGAGTTAAAATTAATCTGGTTTTAATAGAATCAAATTTGTCAACATTAAATTTGTAAAAATTTGGTTTGACCCATCGAACTTCCCAGTAATATCAGTGCTTTATCTTATTCACGCACGTACGTGAAACAAGGTTTATTCTCTGAAAGCATGGCTGCAGCAAATTATAAATGCTCGATATTGTAATTAATAAAAATTTTGCCTGACTATTCAGGTAAATGCAGCCCGTATGGTAGAATGATAACGTTTGAAATTGAAATCTCATTGAATTTTCTCTCGCGCGATGAGTAAAATCGATTTTCATTTACCGTCGCATTAATCATCAGCAAAGAATAAATACAATTATCGGGGATGTATCGGCCAGGAATTGTGTGCCATTAAGATTGACGTTAACTTTACACACGTTTAATAAAATACATCGCGAAATACCTTTCCGCAATATGTTATTTTTCATTATATTAAAAAATTTCCACTTGGAGAAGCAATTTCATTCTTCAACGATTCGTTTCTACGTTTTCGTTTTCGATTTACACAGCTAACAATAATACAGTGTCTCGTTTAAAAATATTTGCTTGAAGTGTGTCCGTCTGATTTCAGATTAAAGGAGAGGATACGTTTATTTTTCGAAGAAATTTCTTTACAAAAGGGAGATTTGAGGTAAGTGTTCACACTGCTACTCGTTCAATTTATCATTTTATTAGTTTATTATTTTATTTTAGTTGTACATACAATTATAATTGTATGTTGTATTTATATACTTTATTACACGCTTTGTTATGGAAAGTTACATCGATACAAAGCATTCAATTCATAAATTTTCGAATAACGCAACATGAAAGCGCAAAGAATTGTCTCTGCGAAATAGCATGCTGTTCGACTTTAATTATATCAATGTTTCTATTAAATTATACGATCTCTATATTTCTCAGTTCCATTAAAAACACAGTGTCTCGTACATATCTTTCGAACCATACACGCTTTTCTTTACGCAAAACTCTTAATCCGTCCGTCAGAAGAAACAAGATTTACCCATGGACGAGTTTCATTTATTAGTTTCAGAATTCAGACAAGATTTAATACATTGAATTGTTACTTTCGAAACACTGTTTAATCAAATTATCCAAAGGGATGTATTAAATCACGCTCGAAGAGAAAAGAAACAATCACGTTTAATATTAGCGCGTTACCATTTCTTCAGTAAATGAATTAAGTAACTTGATCATAACTGAAATTATTCACGTTGCCGAAATACAGTGCGAATTCAATTTGAAATTTCGGGAACGTGCAGCGCTTGCTAGCCAGCGTTGGCGCAAACCAAATATAGAACTTTAATAATACTAATTTTCGGAAATGTAAAATCTTGATTCGCATTTGGTTTGTGCTTCATTCGATTATGCCCTCGTATTTTATTCGACCGCGTTCGCACGTATAATTTCTATGATTCGAGTTGCAAGGATAACTCTCTGATATCGCGAGAAACAATTACGAAGTGAATTTTGGAAAAGTCACGATTTAAAAAAACAAAAAAAAAAAAAAACTAATTTAGAAGAAAACAAATTTTAACGCATTGAAACACATTCGTACGTACCTTGACATAAATCATACCTCTGTTACCACTGAAGTAAAACTCATACTAAAGAAATGAATGTACAAGAATGAAAACTAATAAAACCTAAGCTTGCGTTTATTTATTTCAAACATTTAGTGATATTAATTAATACTGAAAGTAATGGTGGTTAATGATTAATTGCTTAATTAATCAACACCAAAAGAAATAGTAAAAATTTGGTAATGATAATTAATTATTATTTGTTCCTTCCAGTCGCAATTTATTAGCAATTTCGAAAAGTCACTCGAATCTCTCGAAATATATAAAATTGTCGCGGATATCTGTGCGAAAAAATCACTATCATAATGACTTTGGTGGATTCTAGTGTTAAATAACATCATAGTTCTGATGGAACTCTATGTTTCAAACTCGCCTTTCACCCGGTACGTGCTTCTTCATTCGCTCCACTGAATTATCTACAAACGAGCAGTTTGTTGCGTCCGGTGGCGCGAACTATGCTTCCGCGAATAAACGCATCCGCAATGATATTCTGAAAGAAATACAAGCCAGCGTTTCTCGGTCGTCTACGTGACTGTACCGGCCTATAAGTTAAAAATCGTGTTGCTAGTTCAGTAGTAAACCGGGCGAATTACGTTGGCCGGCGGTGAAACTTTGAAATTCACGATATCGCATAAATCATTTACGAATTTTCCTTTAGAGCCGCGTGGCTCGAAATCGATACGTACGTATCGATATACATATGCAGAAGTAACCTTCCATCCGCTGTAGCGACACGGCCGAATCGTATCGATTTCTCTTTTATCGAAGCTCGGCTCGTTGATATGTAATTATTAGCATGATTGGTCGCCAGTCAGAATTGTAATTTTTATCAAATCTAATTAATCGATCTTAATATCTTTAAGAAAAGGTATCAATTTCCGTGAGGAAATATTGATTAATAAAATAAACATTCAAATATCAATTAACAATATGAAAAAAATTTAAAAAAATTATACCAAAAATTAAAAAAAAAAAAAATAGAGTATTGTACAGTAGCTGTACAAAAATATGAATTTCAGTTCAGCCATTTTGCCACTTCTGAATATTAGTTCTTTTATTTTTAATTCATATGTTGTTCGTAAATTAAAAATTTGCACAAATTTCTCGTAATCGTTTATCTGTCAGCAATTATGACCATTATTAATTATTATTGTGAAATTTACGCATTTTTACAAAATCAACATCTTGCCGTGTACAACAATTTCGCGAGACAATTATTAAATAATTTCTGATATTTCGCAGAAAGCGGAGTAGGAAACGCTTTCGATTATTTTTATCATTCGCATAATTGGACTGACTTTCGCCCCGGTCGTTCTGTTTGAGCTACTAATAACGACAATTACATATTATTATCGTGGAAGGATTACCGAGCTTAATAAGCGTGTGTATATATTTTGTTATTAATCGTAAAATATCTTCATTTGTCGAATGTTAACTGTTATACATAGGCACGCTTTCGTTTCTGCATTATTGAAGATAATCAAATTCGTTGCAGCCAGATTAAATATTAATTCCAATACATCGTGTTTGCACACTCCTGCGTGCTTCTGTGTGGTTCCCATTGTTTCCAACCTTTTCAGTTTCTCCTCGTATTTTCAGTTCCGGAACTCAATTCGCTTTTCTTTCTTTTATTTTTTGATTTCTTGAATTTCAAAATTTTCGAACGTATTCTAATTTCCAAGGGATTCTCTGTTCCTTCAGTTTCGCGATCTCTGCTTTTGATCTTTTTTACTTTGAATATTTTAATTTGCCAATTCGAGTTTTGCACACTTATGTATTATTATTTATCGTTGCACGATCGAATTGCTGTCAAATTGTCGATTCATAGTAGCCATTAATGTTTGATACTACCATCAAAATACAAAACTGCAATTGAATATATATATTATATATTCATAATATTTTTTTTTTCAATGAGTGGAGGAAAATTTGATTATAGAAGCTAATAACGATCAGTGTGAATTTAATTGTACAAATATCGATATAACGCATTTCATAAAGAACATGATAGAATTTAATTAAAGCATTGAAGCTTGAAGATTTAATTCTTCTCTGATATTTAGTTCTTTTACGAAAATAAAATTATTTTCCAAATTCCCAGCTCTTCTACAAAAATTTAATTTCTTTACACACAGCGACACAATTACACGTGAAATCTCAAAGTCACAAAGAACACATGAAATTTAAAAATTACGAAGAACACATGAAATATTTTAAAATTTCACAGTTACACGTGTCTGTCAAACGAACAAGACATTAGTCAGTCACTCCATCGTCAAAACTATGTGACAATGACTTGTCAAAAATAATTGGCATTTCATCCTGTGCAAAACTGATGCACTGAAAGAAAAATGGAATGTTTTGTCTGACACAAAAAGAATGCTAGATATAGTTCTCCTCTCTGACAGTGTAATTACGAAGTCATGCAGGATATTCATAAAAATTTCATATGTATCACTTTCCGAAAGTATCTAATAAATAGTCTGCGAACTCTTGCGCATTTGTGAGACATTCAAAGAGACAAACATACAGAGGATGCACATAAAAATACATGAAACGTCTGGAAGGTGGTGTAGTAAATAACAGTGCAAGTTTTTCGAATTATTATTTGACAAATTTCGGAGGACAAAGAGGTGAAAAAGTTGCAGTTGCAGAACTATTTATCCACCTATAACCGAATTTTTCATTCAGGGGAAGAACGAGTATATATTTCTCGAATATATTCCCACCGAATTGTAGAATTATGAACGAATTTTTCTTTCCATTCATTCATTTATTTTTAACGCGCTTCGTTCCTCCTCGGACGTCGTTTCTTTAAGTGCTCACGAAAATATGAAAGTACACAGAGATCTGTGGTCTGCTCGTGAATTTTCCAAAAAANCCAAAAAAAAAAAAAAAAAAAAGAAAGAAAGAAAGAAATAAAAAAACAGAAACTTCCATCTCTCCCACGTGAAAGCCGCGCTCAGTCGCGTCAGTCGTTCGTCGTCCCATTACGCTAATTGTGAATTACGACGCCTGTCGGTTATTAACGTTTACGAGTTAACGAGGCACGATAACGAGTGAGAGGTGGCGATGGGGGAGGGGGGGGGGGCGCAAGATCGCGAACGCTCGGACGAAACTTTTCTATTTAAAAGTTTTCACCGAGGCAACATTGTATTCGGTCGTAGTTCGATGGTATGTCAAACTTCGCGTAACAGGGGTGAGGAAAACGACTTTAGGTGGATTAAACACGCAATGTAGATTTGCGTGCGCGATAAACTTTCCCGGATTAATATTTTTAACCGCGCCCCCCGCCCCCCACCTCCCCGAACGTTCGATCGTTCGCTTCAACTTTAATGGGATCCAAACAAGGGAGAAGTAAGAAGCTGTGTGTAAAGTTTCCCGTGCAACCATTAGCAACGTTCGAACGACGAACGAACATTTGTGAAACGAAATTCTGTGTGTATGTGTGTACAAACGAGGAGAAACAAGGTTTCGGAATTGTTTAAATGCTGGGTACGTTTATATATATTTTTGTTATCGCGTTGGTGCCGGTGCCGGTGTTATTCAATACGTTCGGAAACGTTGTTTCACGGCGAAGAATGTAAAACGTGAAATATTGAAAAAAGTGGGTGGTGCAACACGAGAGAAGAAACGCGTCGCTGCGTTCGTGCTACATTCGGAATCTGTGCAAGATCTGCACAGATTTACCTTTATGCAAGATTTACGTGGTTTTATTTTTATCCATGGAAAACACACGTTCTATGGCTCTCATTGCACAAGAAATATTTGTTTTACGCGAGTTTAATTACGATGAAAGCAATATGAACTATGGACGCGACGTTTCATTTGTAACTTTCTTTTGATCATTTTATCATCATCGAATCTCTGTTTTTAACAACGAAATGAAATTGCAAGAATTTGTCTGACGTTTTTTTCATCGTTATTTTGAAACTTTTTGTATTCCAAAGAAATTAGAATTATATATACAGTATATATTTTTGTATTCCAAAGAAACTAGAATTATGTATGTGTATATATATTGTATAATATAATACTAAAATTTATA